TTCTCCATAGCCACTTCAAATTAAACAAGCGACTTGGAATTAACGCATAAAAATAGTTTAAGCTTTCCCAACCGGAAGAAATCTCTTTCAAGATGAAATTGCGAACGCTTTATTATGATTAAATATGAATTTCAGTAGAAAAACTACCTAGATTTCTGATACTGTTATGCGTACGTTTATCTTCGATACGCCTAACTGCAAATCACTCCGCAAATACGCTGATCAGTAACTTAACCCTGACTGAAAACGTGGACATTCTCTGTTCGTCACTGCCAGTTCCCAGACTGAATGTTTGATATCTAAGTACAATTGCATTCTTCCAAATTGTTGCCAAAAAGGTGAATCGCACATCTTCATAGACCTAAAAATGAATATAATCTATGAAAGAATTCTCATTTGCTTACAGTTTACTGCTATAAGTATTCAAATTAATAGTACAACCATTACAATTTGTTTGTATTTTCTAGGGTGGTAGGTAGTCAACTGCATTCAATACAGTCCTAGAAAGGTATCCTGTTTATAGTATTTTGTGTCTTATTTAATAAGCACAAACGGTTCCATATTTAGCGCAAATGTACGTTGAGCATTGCCTCTCATAGCCCAGTATGTTGACAGGAACAGTTCCGATATACTTAAAGTACGACATGTGATCAATGTATTATTAGCGGGCCCGTGTTATTAATGGTTACTGCTTAAAGAAGATGTGCATTATGAAAAACATAATGACGTTAATATAGAAAGAATATCTTTAGAACGTCTTAGTACAATAACAACAAGGAACGTTACCTCTTCAGTATTCATGCTCTCAATTTCAAGGAAAGGTAATACAACCTAATTAGCCAGTTTTATATCTATGTAATCAAACTTTTGTTCTCAAATAGCTGCAGTAAAATTAGTTTTGACTGGCGTGGCCAATAGTCCGATAAACGGATATAAATAGGACACTTCGTCCTATTGCAGCCATCTCACGCCCTCTATCCATCAGCAAGAAGGACGATTATTTAAAATAAACACTAAGGTGTGCAGAACGGCATTACCGACAAAGACAAGGGAAACGAAGATGACCATTTCTTGCTTAATAGCCGTTGTCACCTCGTCGTACCCAAGCTAAGTGTCGCCCCATATGTCAGTGTCCCGCTCGAGTTTTGAACGCCGTCTTGCGGTGTAGGCTCGAGGGTCAACTTCAAAGGCACCATAAACGGGGGATTATGAACTTCAACTGATCGGTTTACGCCAACCTGCCACAGAAATACGTTTTAAGTAGATTCCAGGACATAAAAGAGCAACTGAATATCCCTTAATAACGCATAACAGTAGAAAGTTATTAATTTGTTAATTGGATACGTGCGACCCGTAACGTTCTACGTAGACCACATTTAAACAAGAGCTTTATTATCGTTAAAAAACAGCTACCACTACAAAATGTTACTACAAACAAATAAATTGCATAGTTCTGTATTTCGGAAATTGTCTAACATGCTATTTTTAAACACCTTATCAAAGGATTTTAATTTATCAAGGAGATTTAACCTGCTATTTAGCCATCAGCTCAGCATTTTTGAACGAAGAACGTGCGCAGTAAATAACTTTCTATGTTTACTCTTTTTCAGCTATCAACAAAAAAGGAAAAATTTCCGCCCATTCGCTTGTACTTTGAAATGGGTTTTTGCTTCTGCACATTGTGCATTTAAGCGAGAATAGACCGCGTTGCACAGGAAGTGGACAAAAACATCAAATGCCTGAAATAAAACCTTTTCATTTTAAATTCTGCCTTCATTTGAAGACCTTTTAATTCCGATGTTCTCAATGCCGAATATTAACACACAAACTGTTTGCGAATCTGAAAATGCATTGTGCACGTTAACGAAATTCGCGACGTAAAAAAGCAAATTTCATCGCGGACCTTCACAGCTCTGAGGAAATGCTGCTTTCCAGTGCCGCGGATGCCAAAATGCAGCATCCTCCCGGTTATTTTGATACCCCCCTCAAGATGACTGCTGGCACCATAACACCGTCGAATAATACTAGCTGGGACAGGATACTGAGGCTGTTAGTTACACCTGATGGTCAGTATACCTCCTATCTTGTCTTCTGTTCAGCGACGCTTACGATTGCTCTAATATTGCTCCTACTGCTTGTCCTTCTGTTGGTGGCTAAACGACGGAAATCACCACCCTATGGATTATCCTTAAAGTATCTTTACCTCAAAACGGCAGAGAAAGTAGAATTCGTAAAGTTTAACGAGGACCACAAGTTTTCTCGCAAACGAGAGCCAACATTCACTGGGAAATATGCTCTCCTTGAATCTAGGCTCACTGCCGCACGCAAGAAGCCCAATCACGCGGATTTTGCCAACCTGTCGAATGGCCAGCACTTCAGCTTTCCCCCGTTTACTTGTGTGAAGAAGGCAGCTATAGTATCTTATCTCAGTTTTCGCGTATTTTATACCTTTATTTTCACATTTTCCGTTGCCCTGTCAATGCTCTTCAGTCTTTGGCCACCCTATCTGGACGGCAGCACTGCTTCGACCCAGAACCCCTCAGTGGTGCCTCGAGGACGACTAGTAGGCCTGCGGGAGCCCACGGTAGAGTCAAGCTACAGTTTCGTTAGTCAGCTACCATTAGCTCAGCAGATAGCCTTCTCCAGGGAAACTCTGACAGATGAGGAATTGTCGGTGCAAATAACAAGAGCCACCCAAGTTGTGCTTGCCTGTCAACAACTCGTGATCACGCAAATTGTCGACGTTGTCCGCGAGCTGGATCACGTAATCCAGAAACTCCTAGATGATGAGCTCTCACTTCCTGAGGTCAAGTGGAACGACAGCGTGAGGACAGCAATGCCTTCCCTGATTCCACCCCCGGGGTCATCAGCAGCAGCCACGGCGGAATCGGCATCAACACCGGGCACGAGCCCAAATCTGCTGCAGGTTATGGACACCTTTGTGATGTGGCTTATGACTGAATTTCATCAGGCCATTCAAAACTACCTGCGACACCTAAAAACGGAAGTAGAGTATGCCATGATGCCTGATGTGGCTCTCTTTTCGGACATGCTCTCACGCGTCTACTCATCGCAGTGGTTACTGTTTGCAAGACGAATGCTCAATTCCACCGCTGGTGGCTACGAGGGTGCAGGCAGTGGCTCGCGCTGGTGGAAGCCAGTTGACAGTGCTGACATCGTATCATCCGTGGATGCCGAAACAACCGGCGCTAACATGTCAAAAATTGACTTTGCACGACAACTGGGTCTGGCTGAGGCAGAAAATTTTCTTTGGACGCCGACAAGAATTGAAAAAGAGTAAGCTGCTGGATCCTTTACCGGTTATCTATGTCGTTAATTAAAAGGCCTATTACTATCCTGGTTAATATAACAAACTTATTATACAGACAGCGTTTAATTCGTGCTAGAAGAAAAAGAAGGTAAAATTGTTTTTTTGTGTGTGTAGCAAAATTTGTGTACATAACTCAAATTAATATATCTCACGATATATATCATCGAATTTAGGTGAAGATAAAAATACTTTTGAACGCACCTATCCTGTTGTTGGGGTGTAATGGGTGTCACGTGAAGCATACGTTGGTCAAGTTCAGAAAAATGAACTTTATAATAATTTCTTACCTAAATAATTTCCGCAAATCAAAAAAATCTAAGTTAACCGTTTTGCTTGGTTGCCTGCTTGCCGGATTGCATTAAATAAACTTATTGTGCATAAATCACTGATTTTAGAGATTTTTCAATAAATGCAAATTATTAATTAGTTAAATTACGTTTATAAGACGTAAGAATTAATTTTTAAAAAAAATATACGAATTTGCATTAATACACTCGAATCAGAAAAATATTTGCGTTTGTGCAATAATGTTCATGATTTTAATTTATATGGATATAATATGCAGATTAACTTTCCATAAAATGTCTATGTGTGTTCTCCGTTAAGTTTTATTGGTGCTACTTTGTTGAAGACGTCTAAGCTAGAAAAAGAAGGCTTTTTGACGTAACGTTTAGCAAATTGAACCTCTATTGCAGGCGAAGACAAACAATATTTTCTGCTTAATTTTATTTGATATTGTATTATGTTGTCTTAATTTATTGGCCTTGGCAAATATTTTATCGTTGAAAAGACAAAAAAACTGCATAAATGTACATATTAAAATGTGTTTGATTATTGTACCATATGTCGGACCTCGAGGATTCTCATTTAACTTTATCAGCAGACATTGCTCCTGGTCATAGTGATAGACGCAAACGAGGGACAGCATTCATAGGATGTTGAAAATAGTAGTGCAAAATTTTAACGGATCCATAAAATTTCATGAGTGTTCGTCCAGCAAGTGGACACGGGTCATTCTGTAGACCCTTTAACTTCATTCCGAGTTCTTGTTTGAGCACGAACATCTCTAATCTTGCGCTACCCGGAGGCAGCCTGTATAATACGCTTTAAACCGGACCTATGCAAACAGTTGGAGCACGTGGTTAACCTGGTCTTGCCTTGGTAACTACAGGCCCCCAGATTTGCGCATGCCCCTGCCCCCTTTATTCCCGCAACCCAATTTCCCTGTCCCCCCACCCCGTTTAACCTTCCTTCTTTACTAATTG